GGGGGGGGGTGCTAATCCCAGGGGTGAGGTCCTGCGGGGGTGCTAATCCCAGGGTGAGGTCCTGCGGGGGGGGGGTGCTAATCCCAGGGTGAGGTCCTGCGGGGGGCGTGCTAATCCCAGGGTGAGGTCCTGCGGGTCCCTGGAACCCCAGTAGGCTGGCAGCAGGTGATAACGGGTTCTTCCTGTGCTCGACTCCCGGAGCACGCAGCGGCTCCAGAAGCTGGGGCCCGGTGTGGGCAGCTCTGCATGAGAACCTGGGTTCACAGAGACTGTCTAGCACCTTGCAGGACTGGCCTTCCTACGAACTCCTTGTCTACACAGGGGAACCCGGACCCATCAGCGGTGCTCTGCCTTCCTGTGGGCTTGCCGCGTTGCAGACCCTCCTGCTGGCCTCCTGTCCACCTCCACACCCAGCTGGGGGTTCCATGCACTTGACTTAGAAATGAAACGACAGCGCTGACCTTCTTGTCTCTGCGGAATGTTCTGGCTCCCAGCACATAGTCCATGTTCACAATTGGCCGCAGTCCACTGGGCTTGGGGAGGAAGCGGAGTCTGGATGTCAGGAGAGCCGCTCTGGCTTCGTGGTGTCTTCGGACATCTGCTGCTGACAGTTCTCGGAGATGCACACGTGTGAAGTGTTGTCTGAAACGGAGAAGCTCGTGGGCTGCAGCTCGGCAGGCACGCGAGAAGCCCAGGGCAGGTAAGCCTGCCAGAGAACGGCCGGGCTCCTGAAGTTGGCAGAGCCAGGCCCCCAGCAACCCAGGATGCTGTGGCCGGCCACCTGCAGGAGCACGCTTCCACAGCAGGTGCCAGGACACCTGGTTCCCTCCAGCACAGAGCCCTGGGAGGCACAGGTGGGGGCAGCCAGGACCTTCAGGCAAGGGCGGAGGGCGGGCCAGGTGCAGGGACTGGTGCAGCCCCTAGAGGAACAGAACCCTCTCTCCACGGACCCACTAGCTCCCTCTCACCTGTGACCTGCAGCCTTTCCCCCAATACCACCCAAAGGCAGGGGCTGCTGGCCCCAGGAGGGAAGGGCAGTATGCAAACCCAGCCCACCCTGGGGACTCAAATGCCCAAGGGGGACAGCTTCCACAGGCCCCACAAGGAGTCTCAAGAGCTACTTTGGATGAGGTGCCATGAAATGTTTAAATTATTAGACAGGCTGCGCTGTCTATTACCTCAACCTACGATAAAGGCCCCCAGGCCCCCTCCCAGATGCAGGAGGACACAGGCCCAGTCCAGCTCCCTCTGCAGGTGTCCTGACTCAGGGCACGGGTTTGACCCAAATGCGGGATGCAGCCCAGGAGCCCTGACCTCACCACTTTCGGGGCCTTGCCAAGCCCTGTGAGGACACTGGGCGCGTCGGCCAGGCCAGGCTGCAGAGAAGCACGGCATTTCAGGCTGGCAGACCATCCCTGACGGGATCCCGATCCAGCCTGCGTTCAGCACGATCCTTCAGATGGACATAAACAGCTTCTGCAACAAGCCTAGCAGCCACTGAGGCAAGTCAAGCTGGAAGGAACTGCCTCAGGGCCCTGCTTCCCGAAGCACGCATCTGTCCCCAGACCCTGCCCACACGCCGTCCACTGATGAGACAGACCCACTCATTCTGTGTGAATTCAAAGAGAATCCGACCCATATGCCTGGATCAAGCCAATGACCTGTCTGCGAGGTTGGTTCCATTCAGTACAAACTTCTTCCACTTTCAAGAGCCTGGACCCCAGGCAGCTCAAACTCTGACGTCACAGGTAAACAAAGGGGGGCCCCGGGAGTCTGTGCCCAGCATGGGGCCCCCAGCTTGGGACCCCCGGGGGCCTGCAGCTGGCAGGACGCAGGGCTGTCATCTGCACACACAGGAAAAACCACAAGCGAGCGACATTGACCAAGACACCTGATTCCTATGCTCTGTAACTGGCTCCAGACACTCTTCCGATAGAAGAAGAGCCGGTTCTTCTGAAACGTGGTTTCTGTGACGTAAAAAAACGACCTGAGCAGCTCAACCACGTACGTGCCCATCAACCAGCACAGGAACCTGGCCAGGATCTCCTCTCTCCGACGGTGCTCGGTGGCCGGGACACAGCGAGCCCCTGAAACAGGAAAGGTACAGACACAGTGTCCACCCATCCGCCCATCGCAGCCACACTGGCCGCTGGAAACAGGCAGGTGCAGGGAGCACGACCCTCAGCCAGAGGAGGGACGCGTGCCGTTAGCGATGCGTCTGCTGATTACGGGAAGTGAGAGCACTCTGGATGTGTTGGGCCTTAATAAAAGACATTATTAGTTTCATGTTTCCTTTTCTACTTTGTAACGTGGCTACCGGAAAGTTTAAATTACGCATGCAGTCACGCTGTATTTCTACTGGACAGAGAGCACGGGGCTTCGTCATCAGTCCTGGGTTATAAGCGGGATGGAGAAGCAGAGACATGCTCTCCATATGGGGACAAAGCCATTCAGCCACTTCAGCACTGGGCAGCGGGATCCAGAAATGCCTGTGGCTTCCCAGGCTGAACCACGCAGGAGCTAAGGGCTGCCAGACGCTGCGCAGCTGGGAACGGGCAGCAGGGGGCTGTGAGCACTGACACGGCGCTGGGGACACACCCCACAGCCCAAAACTGTCCTCTGCATCCTTGTGTATTTGATTCTGTGCACTCGGAAAGGTCACGAGAAGGTGTCACCAGGCTGCCACAGAGACCACAGCACACACGGAACTGGGGGCTTCACCATGAATAACAGACATGGAAGAAACCGTGGAGGAGCAGGAAGGGGACCCAGAGGCGGGGCTGGGGTAGAGGACAGAATGGTGAGGGGAGGGAAGAAAAGGGCAGTGGACAGAGTTCAAAAAGCACTGACCACAGAGCACAACATGACCTCTAACTTGGGGCATAACCAAGGCTGTGGGAAACTGCATCAGGCCCTCATGCTGCTCAGGACGAGGGACCCTGAGAGCCGCATAGCCAGCAGCTCCTAACCGCCGCCGGGGGGCAAACCGGGAAGGAGGGTGGAGTGGGAGAGGCACATGGGCCCTCGGAAACGGGAAAGGCAGACAAACTGGAAGAAAGATGAAAGGGGCTTCAGACACGTCTATAGTCAGGGGAGAGAAGTCAGATTCTCCGGGTTAGTGGCAAAGATCGCCAGACTGGACGGGAGGTAAAACACCAGCCGCTGATCGGCCGGGCCCAAACCGTGGGGCTCTGGGAAGGCTGGACGCCGACACGCGCCAAGAGAAAGCTGGCGTGCCGCTCGGCGGCACCAGAACAGACGTTCACGTAACGGGCACAATAGGGCATCAGGGAGATAAAACTTCTAAAATGCGCACACACCTGATAAAACCTAACGTAAATACTGTCGGAACAGGAAGGAATGGACAAACCCACCCTTGAGGAAGATGGTGCTCCCCTGAGCATCTCGCCCTCAGGAGGGGGACAGGTCTCAGGCAGCGTGAACATGGCAACCGGCCACAGACCTGCAGATGCCCAGGAGACACGCTCGTCTGCCCAGCCCCACACAGCCAGGATCCCGCACACAGACCACCACACAACCGAGTCACAAGTCAGTAGAAAAGACCACACACAGCTCAACAACTTGCTGATCTAAGAAGAAAGAGTAGAAGAAAGTAGAAACTTAGAAGCGACTGAAACTGGACACGTGCAGACACAGGCAAAGCTGGGACGCAGCTAGACAGAGCCAATCACCCCCGAGAAGTCAGAGAGGAACGCCTGACGACGGGGACACGGCCCCCGAAGACCCAACCGCGGCCTGTAGAGCCCAACTGAGGACCCTACTGAGACGACAGACTCCACTCCGAAGGTCAAGGGGCCACCGTTCAGACCATCGTGGGGGCGCACATAAGTCGATGGGACCAGATGACAGCACAGCCCACGCAAGAGCCACATGTGCCCGGGGTGAGGGAGTAACGGCTGCCACCAGCCCAACGTGGGCCATGGGGACAGGCCGTGGGGGGGCACCTCCCCAGTTTTCATCAGGAATCCATTCTGTGACGTCTAGTGACACCGGGCTGACGATGTAGATGGCCCGGCAGTCTGGCCTCCGGAGATGGGGACGGGTTTCTGACGGGTGTCAGAGGGCAGAGTGGCAGGCAGGACATTGGTCGAGGCTGGCTTGACAGAGGCAAAGGCCCGGGTGCTGTGCACCGAGCCCCTGCCCAAACTGATGGTCTGCACAGGGGAAGGGGTGCCCCAGCATGGGAGGGTGGAAAAGGTGACCACGAGAGCCATGCTTAGACAGCCTTGGTCTCTAAGTGTCATGTATTCAGCCCAATGGGCAATGAGCATGGCCATGGCCACGGGAAGGAGCAGACGGCCAGGGCCACAGCTCGAGTGTGCAAGGACACAGGGAGGCTGCTTTCCACTAAGTGAGCCTCAGCCTGAGTGCGGGTCCTGTAACACCCTGTCCAACGGTGCCTGACACCTTGGAGGTTCATCCACGTTGCAGCACCAGGAAGGGAGTGGCTGGTTATGGGCGTAGAGGCATGCCAGGTGTGAAAGTTCTAGACATGTGCTATGTAACACGGCACTTACACTTTGCAATGCTTCCTGTACACTTAACCATTCATTAGGAGGGAAGATCTCAGGCTGTATGTTGTTTTCTCACAATTAAAAAAATAATAATCATCTTACAAACCCGAGTTATTGGGAGGTCGCCCCAGTGTCTGCCATTACCTGGCCCCAGAGCCTCTTGGGGAACTGGAAAGGGTGTACCCCTGCCCCCCATCGGAGACCATTATAATCACGATCTTTGGAGATGAGCCTGGGCATATTTTAAGCCCCCACCGTCGGAGGCTGAAATGGATATCCCAGGTGGTAACCTTGGCTCTGATAGAAGGCTCTGCAATGTTCTTTCATCTAGAAGTCTCAGATGTTTTGGGAGCTTGGGGAAGGTCAAATGGCAAAACCCCAGGGTCTGTCCTTGTTGCTGCTTCCCACCAGGGAGGGCAGGGAGGGTGGCCGGTGGCTGGACCTGTGTCCCCACATCTGCTCACTGCACGTCCCCAGCACCTGCCTGAGTCCATCAGCGCCTCGAAGTTCTATGTAAATGGGATGTGGGAAGAATCAGAGGTGGAGGATGGAGTCCCCACCTCAAGTCGAAGCCAGGTGCATGGGGAAGGTTGGGAGGGAGGGGCCTGCAGGGCCAACCAGGCACCTGCTCACCTGGGCTGCTCACCTGGGCTCCCCCGCAGCCAGGTGCAGTCCCGCACTTGCATCTTCCACGTCAGCTCCTGCAGCGAGAGCTTGGCATGCTTTCCCAGAGAGATGAATTTCTTCACGTTCCTCAAGAAGCGGCGCTGGTTGTGCCTGGAGCCCCAGAGTCCAGCGGGCACCAGCCAGCACAGGCAGGCCCGCAGGAAAGCATACACCTGCCAGGGGCTACTGTGCCGTCGGAGCAGCTGCACCAGACGCCGCGGGTCCGCCTCCTCCTCAGGGGCTGCCGCTGGCCTCTCCGAAGGGCACACGCCCACTCCTCCACACGCCTGGTCGCGAGGCGCATCCCCGAGGGCCGCGGCCCGAAGCGGGCAGTGGGTCCTGAGGAGTGCACCATATGGGCACCGCTCGTGGTTCCCAAGCAGCTCCCGGAACAGGGGCCTCATCCGCCAGTAGCGCGCGGGCAGGCGGCGCGTCGTGCGGGCAGCCCCTGGCCTCCGGGGCTCGGAGCCCAGAAAGATGGTCTCCACGAGTTTCCGGGCCCCGGTCAGGCTAGGCGGCAGGGCGCTGAGCAGGAAGGAGGGGCGCAGCCGCTCCCTGCCTCCCGAGCAGTAGAGGAAGTGCTTGGTCTCGGGGTGCGCTGGGTGATGGGGTACTCCCTGGGGCCCCTGAGATGGCTGTGCAGCCGGGGAGGAGAGACGAGTCCCAGGGGGCCCTCCCTCCCACGAGGCAGCTTCCGCAGCGGCCCTGACAGGTGTCACTGCGCCAGGTTTGCTGTCACTTGGCCCGTGGACCCTGCCCAGATGGGCCCGGGCAGGCCTGTCGGTCCCCTGCTCCGGCTCTGGGGTCACGCGGCGCCTGGGCCTCTTGGCCGGCTGAGGACTGTTCCCGGAGCTGCCCCGACGCCGCCTTGCGCCGGAGTTCCAGGCCTGGCGCGTGGGTCTGAGGTCCATCCGGGTCCCAGGACTGTGGCCGGGGGACGCGAAGGGCCGAGCCACGGCGGGGACGCAGAGGTCGTAGAGCGGAGGCCCACACACTTGGTAGGCGCAGCTCGGGGCCACCAGCAGGTAGAGCGCGCAGCGCGTGAGCAGGTGGGTGAGCACATCGTCGCCCACGCGGCGCAGCAGCAGCCCCCATGCGCCGCTGCCACGCAGAGTCTCCGTTACCGTGTTGGGCAGGTAGCTGCGCACGCTGGTCGTGAAGGCCACGGGCGGCCCGCCGCGGGCTCCGTCTAGCAGGGCGAAGCCGAAAGCCAGCACGTTCCTGGCGCCGCGCTCGCAGAGCCTCTGCACCACCCTGGCCACCAGCTCCTTCAGGCAGGACACCTGCGGGGGGACGGGTCCTGAAGCCCTGGGGACCGAGGCCCCCGGGGGCCTGAGCGCGCCGCCCTCCCTCTCCCGCCCCGGCAGGCCCGAGCCGGGTTCCCGGGTTAGCCCACCTGGCGGAAGGACGGGGCGACGGGGGGCGGCCGCGCGTCCCAGGGCACGCACACCAGGCACTGGGCCACCAGCGCGCGGAAGGCCGTTGGGTCCCCACGCCGCACGAGCCGCCGGCCCTGGGGCCCCAGGCGCCGCAGGAAGGAGGCCAGGGGCAACACCTCCCGGTAGTGGCCCCGCAGCAGGGCGCGCACGGCGCGGCACCGGGGCGCGCGCGGCATGGCCGGAGAGGGGCGGGTCCGCGGGAGGAAGGGGCGGGCCCGGGAGCGGGGGGGGGGGGGGCCGCACTAGGGGGCGGGGCTTGGGGGAGGAGGGGGCGGGGCCGGGGCGGGGTCGCAGCGTTCCGGGGTGTTGGCGCCAAGGTGTGGCGAGGCTCCTGCGTGCTTTGGCTGTGCGACCGCATCTTCTCCACCCACGCCCCGCGACCCCTTGCAGGGTGCCGCGGTCGCAGCGAGGGTCGCACAGCGGGGAACGGTGGAGGCGGCCGCGGCTCTGGGGGTGCCCACGGGGAGCCCTAACGTGGGGCACCTGGTGCGCTCTGCGCTCCCTGGGGAGAGGGCCCCCTGGTTTGTCTCTTTCTCCCAGGGGCTGTGATCTAGGCACTGAGGGCTGCGCGGGGGTCCAGCTGGGGAGCGGGTGATGGAAGGAGCAGGGTAGCAAATGTGCGACGAGGCCCCAGGAGAAGAGTCCCCTGCGATCCGGCCACGTGGGCCTGGGCGCAACTGAGGGCGCGGGCCGCGGTGAGGCTCCGCTGAGTGGGCTGCGAGCGGGCAGCGGCCGATCTTCCCCCCCAACTTGGTCTCCTTGACCCCGGACTGCCCTTTCTCCTTGTTCAGGTCCTTAAGCTTCTATTGTCTCCACCAGAAACAACCCCAAATCAGTTCTCTGCTAACCGGTGTTCACCAAGGACGGAAGAAATTGGAGCCACAGGGCCTGTTTGGCACCACGTGCAGGCTCCTCACAGGAGCTCCAGCTCCTTGCATGCTCCGAGACACCCCGAACCCCCTAGACGGGACTGGGCAGGCGGAGGGACCTGCCTGCGACCTCAGAGCCCTTTCTGGCCCAGCCCAGAAACTCCACAACACTGACCGTCCAGACCCAGGGGGACAGTTTTGACGATGCCGGTCATGATGCTTGAACAAGACACTTCAGAGGAGCCACCCTAATGAGATTTCATGCGAACGCAGGCTCCGTGGCACGTTCAAGTTTGAATCCCTAAGCAGTAGGCAAACTCGGTCTCAGGAGGCTCCCGGGGTGACGTACCTGAGCTCAGCAAACACTGCATGGCTGGGCGCGTGTTAACCTTTCACAGCCTGAGAACTGTGGTCAGGAGCTTGTTCTCAGCCCTAGCATTGAAACAGGCCTCCCCGCCAGTCCCCTGGGCGCTAGGCTTGCGTATTCATGGGGCTGGCGGAGCCTGGGACACTCGGAGCATGTCCCACCGTGTAGGGCTCCACTGAGCCAGCACTGCAGCCTCCAGGGCTGTGTTGGAGACCCGCTCACTTCTGCCACTGGTGCATTTGCCCACTGCTGGGGGAAATTTGTTCTTTTCCGACAGTTACTCTGATTCACCTGGGGAAACCTGCTCAGGAGGCAGATGTTTTTAGAAAGAGCAGAACAGGGGAAACCAGGCAGAAAAGGACAACCCCGTGCGGATGGCGAGCAAGCGTCTCCCGTTCATCTCCGGTGTCGCCTGGGCGGTTGACCTGCCGCGGGAAACAGGTGATAGTCTGAAATCATTGCGTCGTAAACGTGAGAAATGTCCCAAGGAAAACATCGATGCTGTTGGCTTGAGATAGAATACCACAAAAGCCTCATCCTGGGCCTTCTGGGAGGCCGTGGGTAGGCTTCACACTTGACACCTGGAAGATCCTAAGCCGAGTGCGTCTGGCAGCGGGAGCAGAAGAATGCTGCCGTGCCATCGATTCAGTGCAGGAGTGGGGAGCCCCACCCCATGCGGCTGGGCACACTGACTCCAGAGACTTCTAACAGCACGGGCACAAGTTGTGGCTGGGGGGCCGCCCAGGCCGTTCAGGTTGCTCCAAGAACTGCAGGATGTCAGCAGACCGCTCCTCCCCGGTCCCCGAGGAATCACAGAAATGACGAGGGCAGATCTCAAGAAGCCCCAGCCCTGCCGAGTGACCTGAGCCCAGGGATATGCCGTCGTTGGTGCCCAGGCAGGGCTCCCTGCTCGCTGTGCACATACCACCCTGGGGGAGAGCCGGCTCTGGATGGCAGTGCGGGGAGGAGCTTGTGAGGGGACGGCGTGTTGGTGCTGCGCGTGCTGGCTGGGCAGCTCCCAGGCCAACACACGCCTCAGCTCCAAATGGGTGTCCGTGGTTGGGCCACCGCCCAGACGAACACAGTGCAAGGGGGTCAGCTGCGCTCAGGCCTCCGTCTGAATGGAAGCTGTCCACAAAGGGAGCACAGCACCAAGATGGCGTCAACAGCGTGGCCTTGCCGACGGAGGGGCCCCTGCTCCCAGGAAGGGCCTTCCACCGGGCACCGTCCGAGCTGTTGTGATACCAGTGCCAGGCTCCGTCTGCATCCCCCTGACTCTGACCCTCCTCAAGAAATCCCAGCTGCAAAGTCCCTCGTGCCAGGCGAGGCCATGTCCCCAGGGTCCGGGACTACAGCGTGGCCTCCTTGGGCTGCATTTGGCCCCCGACGCTCAGCGTGACGGAGATACAGCTGTTGATCAGCCCTGCCCCCGGGTGCTTCTCCCGGTGTCCCCAGCGGGCAACCTCCCAGAACACGGGGGACCCTTGGCCAGCACACTGAGCCTGGTCCGGGCCGTGTGCGGAGCTGGATGTCCTCTCAAGTACCGGTGTGGATTTGCATGGCCAGCACTGCACTCACCACGTGGAATGGTGCCATGGGCTCTAGGGTCACCGTGCTGCACCCCCCCCAGCCCCTGACGAGCAGCCCGCTCTGCAGGGAAACTGTCGTTTTGGGACTAGAGATTGAATCACAGCATATGTGACGCAGGGGACTGGCGTCATGCTCCGTGTCCTTCCCTTGGGGCCAGCAGTCTGTCGCTCTCCATCTCTAAGCAGCCCCAGCCATGATCTGGGGCACACGGGTGACACGACCACACGCCTGTTGAAGGATTTTTGCAGCTGTTACACATAGGGCTGCAGCGAATGCTCGTGGACAGGACGCATAGCTTGTGCTCGTTCCTGGAGAGGCAGCGGGTCACTGTCAGGAGGGGCGCTCTCGCCTCCCCGGGTCCCCACCAGCACTGCCTCGCTGGCTCTTACTGCCGCCTCTCTGAAGGGCTGTGGACGGTCCACAGGCCGCCGGGGAGACGGCCAGGACGGGGCGCCGCCTCGGCCCCGCGGAAGGTTCCGGCCCAGGGAGCGTGTAGAAGATGAGTCACGGGCGGAGCCCTGTCCTTCAGACCACACAGGAGTGGAGGGAGGGGGCGCGGAGGGCAGGTTTAGGGACCCGGTCTCACGGGGTGTTTTCTGGATGGCTGGCGTAGGGAGACCTCCAAGTGTGGCGCCCCAGGGGCCCCAAAGCCACCCCAGGTGCCGCTGGGAAGGTGATCGTTTCGTTTGAGGGAAGTTATCCTGAGACCGACACTGTCTTTGCCAGTAATTTAACACAGGTTCAGTGTGGGAATTATAACTTGTAGTAACATTTCACAAACCCGTAGTAGACAAGATAATGTCTCCTGATAAACCAATAAGGAAAGAACACGCTGTGAGCCACGGACAGATTAATCACACTCTTATTCCAGGCAAAGGGGAGGGGAAGGGCACAGCGTCCGACTCCGGTGAGGCGCCCCTCTCTCCGCGCGGGATCCCAGGAGGTAGCGCCCCGCTGCCGCGCATGCTGTGAGGGATGAAGGCACTGTGTCGGCCGGAAGAGGAACCCCTTCTGGGCCGCCGTGTGGCTTCACCGCGGTGGGCGGTCCCCCACCCTGCAGAGGAGGGCTGTCGGGAGCAGCTGAGCCGGGCCCTGCCAGACCCAGGGTCTCACTCCGTCCCCACAGACTCTCGGTAGAGAGGGTTGACATGGCTGCTTGCCATGGCCACTCTTCCCTGTTCCTACCCACACGGCCCCGTCCGTGTTGAGCCTCAGAGTGCGTGTCAACAGCAGGCGTCAGAGACGTCATCCAGACACGGCTTCCCGAGTGCAAACAAATTCACCCAGAGGTCAAAACAGCTTAAGTCCTAAACAAGTGAAATCCTAACCAACCACACACAACAGGGACGGAGCAGAGGACCCAGGCCGTGTCCCCGGCGGTGTGGACCACCCACGTGGGCAGCAGCGGCTGGCCCGCCAGGCCCTAGGATCACCAAGACTGCCGGCTCAGAGCAGTGGGGGGGGGGGCATGCCCCAGGGGACCTCGGGGTCTGTGCCGGGTCTTCTAGGCTCTCTGGGTCCAGGGAGCCCCTGGTCCCAGCTGCTACTGTCCCCCCAACCTGGGCTGAAAGCAGCCCCCACTTTATTTTCTGTGCCTCGTTCTCCTGGGCAGGTCTCTGTGAGCAGGATGGAACGGTGGCTGCTCGGCGCCCGTGTTGCCCCCGTCCACCACACCCCGACAGGGTTACTACTGGGTTCCTCTTCTTAGCGGTGCAGATACACAGCAGTGGGCATAACGGCCCCTGCTGGCGATTTTTCCCACATTAGCTCATTATCCCTGAGCAACCGGGAGGTAGGTGGACAAGCGTTCAGGGTGGGGGCTTCCTGAAAGAGCCGGGACACAAACCCAGGTTCTCCCAAGTGTAAGGCCGGTGTCCCCTGTGCGCGCGGCTTCTGGGCGGTCAGGCACGGTCAGGGGGGAGGGCAGCGAGCGGGGGTGGGGGGCCTGAGGAAACGGCCCCTCGGGTCAGGAAGGTTGGCGGCTCCCGGGAGAACGGGTGTGCATGCCCCCCCTCCCCGGCGGACGAAGCTGCCACATCTAATCCATCCTGACCCGTTCCTGTCTGTGTACTTTCCCTTGCACCCTCAACCACCTGATCAAAACCAATCAAAAGTGCTGATGGCTAAAATCCCTCTGAGTGCGGGTATATGGTCTTTGTATCTTGGCAAACATGGCTCAGTTCCGGTTGGGTGTGTGGCCCTGGATTTCTGCACTCTTGGAAGTCATTTGATGAAATTTAAGAAAATGGTAAGATAAATTGACCCACTTGGAGGCTGAAAGGTGGAATTTACGTCCTTAATCTCTCCTTTTGTGAACAGCACGTGCCCAGGCCATGTCCCGGCTCCCTGC